GACTAAACCAGACTAAATTCACGTGGGCTACCCAGACATTTTCCCCATAGAACTCAATGTAAATTAAAACAGCGCGACCTCGCTGACAGAGAACCTCAGCTTCCATAAAGGTCGGATTTTGTGGGGATTTTAGTGTCCCTTGTCATCCTGAACTTTTTTTCTTCTTAAATCCTTCGGTTTTGTTTAAATCCACACTTTAGTGCCACAAACTCTGCTCGTCTGGCTCTCGCTCTAACTCCCGCTCTGATGAACTGCTCTGATTGGTCAGAACGCAGCCAAGCCCCTCTGTGCACTTGCGTGAGACCTGGTGTGAGACCCACACACGCGAGATCATCCACTGCGCAGAACCAGGAGGTCCAGACAATGCCCAAATACAGGCGAGTTTCCCATAGATCTTTGAGAGTTCCAGGTGATTTCTGCTAATCTTTCAGCCCCCATGCCGTCACAAAGCGCCACCGAGCACAACCATTCATTTGAATAGGGCGCCATCTTGGATCACCGGGGCTTGGGCGTGACTCTCTCCGTTAATATATACAGTCTATGGTATACACTAGGCTTTAGGACGCCCCTCAGTGTGGGGCCACGGAGGCGCGTGGGTCCGTTTGGAGGCGCTTGGGCCTGGAATGCGCTGTGCTCTAGGTGCTGCTGCTGCGTGGAGGGATGGCTTACTAGTGTGGCCAATCAAAAATAACTAACACTTGAGTTTACAGTGAAAATTGTATGGGGGATGAAGCAGTTATAAAAGTTAATCATTCTATGAAATAGAGGAACTGTCTTTTTTTAAATTGTATTTTAGTATTACGTTGCCTCCTGTCCACACCAGTCCACGAGCCTGTGTGGTTTCTAATTTCTGTCTTTAACGGGTCCCAGTGCCCACATACTGGGTGGCGTTGTTGGTAACATTTCTATACTTGATTAGGCTAAATTCCCACATTCATAGTCTCGACCATTACACTAATGTGGCATGACGAGAGTTTAAAGTACAGGTTAAAATGCAGCTATTGTCAACGCCACCTAGGGTAGGCCTAGGACCCTGCAAGGCAGACACAGGTTCGTTTCCCTTTTTTTAAAGTGATGGGGCAGAGACAAAACCAAACCTTATTACAAAAGTACAACATTTATTTTGATTAAAACATTTTTAAGTTAGAAGCATTTGGAATATAATTATAATTGTCAAAAGCAAAATGAAAAACACATGCACACGCACACACACACACACACACATGTAAAGAACAAAACACAAAAAAAACGAAATCCCAAACTCAATATTTACAGTTAAAAATTTACAAAATTTACAGCTAGGTGTATAGGCGCTCCTTTACGCTAGAGGTGCGGTTACCAGTGTCCACAGCTGGAGCGACTCTGGCCTGTGAGGTCTATCCAGAACAGCGGAGGCATGAGGAGTTGCGCTAGTGGAAACGGCTCTTAGAATTCGTGTAGTGGCCTGTTGGCAGTCTCCAAACTGCCGCGGGAGGTGCAGCTCGGTCCCGCTAAAGTGCGGGGAAGCAGGGGTTAGAACACTAAAGATTAGAATTTGGGTAGACATCAGGCAATAACGGCAACTCACCAATCGGAAAAGCACCGGTCCCCCAGACCCCGAACAGAGGCGCGCGCTCGACCTCCGCTGTGCGTAATTGCGCACCAACTAAAGGAAAATGAGGCTGTTAGGGTGACTGGGGACAGCCAAATGGGTCAAAGGGAAGATGGCACCATGCTTACCCACAAGTAACGGCTGCGAAGCACAACGGGCTCACGCAGCCCTTTACTATAGATTGCCACACTGGAGGAGGTAGCCACACTGGAGCAGGAGAAAAGCGCGAGAAAATGCGCCGCAAATGGAGGTGTGAGATAATATGATGCACACTCACCAGAAAGAGCATGCCTGAATGACTATCGTCCTGTGGCCCTCACGTCTGTCCTCCTTATAAAGACTTTTGAGCGGCTTGTGCTGGACTTCATTAAGAGCCAGATCCCTGTGAGTGTTGACCCGCTCCAGTTTGCTTACAGACAGAACAGGAGTGTGGAGGATGCCATCTCCTTTGCTCTGAACTCTGTCTACAGTCACTTGGACACTAGTAAATCTGTCGCGAGAATGCTTTTCATCGATTATAGCTCTGCTTTTAACTGCCTTGTCCCAGGTAAACTGATTGAAAAGCTCATGTCTCTCGGTTTAAGTGTTGCCATGTGTAAATGGATTTTTAGCTTTTTAACTGACAGATCTCAGCGAGTGAAAATCAATGACTGTTTTTCTGATGTTGTTTCTGTGAGCACTGGTTCTCCTCAGGGATGTATTTTGAGTCCTTTGCTTTTTACTTTGTACACTCACAATTGTGTGTCCTCCTCTGACTCAAACTTGATCATTTAAATATGCTGATGACACCACCATCATCGGTCTCATCAGTGACAATGATGAATCCTCTTATAGAGCAGAGATACAAAATGTGGTTCAGTGGAGTAAAACTAACAACCTCCAGTTGAACGCATCCAAAACATGTGAACTGGTCTACGACTTCAGTCGCAATAGTTCTCATTTGCCTGTCGTAATCGACAACTCCCAGGTGCAGATCGTAGAGGAGTGCAAGTTTCTGGGTTTAACTCTGTCTTATGACCTGAAATGGGTTAAAAACACTGACCGAGTCGTTAAGAAAGCTCGTCAGCGTCTCTACTTTCTGCGTAAACTTAGAGAATTTACCACTAACTCTAAGATTCTGCTTAACTTTTATCGCTGCACCATTGAGAGTTTACTTGTTGGTGTGGTTTGGAAACATCACAGATAAAGAAAAGAGAGCTTTAAACAAGGTGCTCCGCTCTGCAAAGAGGACCGTGGGCTGTGAGCTTCCTGTTCTGGAGGTTCTTTATAAATCCAGACTTTTAAACAAAGCTCTTAGGATTGTTAATGACTCTTCTGGCCACCCTGGGAAAGCCATGTTCCAGCTTCTTCCCTCTGGCAGAAGATATCGCTCTCTGAGATGCAGGACATCTCGTTACGCTAACAGTTTTTATCCACAAGCTGTTATCAGTGTGAACAGAGCACTTTAATGATTTGCACTTGTTTTGAACTGTTTTAGTCGATCGATTTCACAGTGACTTTTGTTTACTGTTTTATTTGTTTTATTTTTGTCTTTTAATGTTGTTTTATGTCTCTATTTGTCTGTGCACACTGGAGACTTTTGCTAATGTATTCCAATGTGTTTTTTTACTGCAAATGGAAAATAAACTGAATCTGAATCTGAGAGCAGAAGGCCTTTCCCAGGGCAGCACTCACACCGCACAAGCCCACATGCGTGCCAACAGGTCACCAAACCGCTGCGTGAGGCTTCCCACCAGCACAACTCCCCGGACCCAAAGAGGCTGTCACTTCCCGCAGGAGAGGCAAAAGAGTGAAAGCCATCAGACTCAGGCCTAAAGACCCTCGGTCCTGCCCCTGTGTGGCAAGCTGGACTTGGCCACCATATTTGTGTCCACCAGATGGCGCATACGGGCAGTATAAATAGCATAGATTTACATCTATTGTTTACCTCTGCACTTCCGTCTCCTGTGTGTGTGTCGTCGCGCCAGCCCTCCTCCTGCTCCAGGTAGTAGTTTTAGTGTCAATTCTAATAATTGTAAGATTCAGCCACTAATGTTGAATTGTTGTTGTAGTGCCGCGGTGTGGCATTGTGCCCCGCGAGTCCTCGTTGTGCATGGCCACACTGTCCAGTCGCTTTGGTGTCTGGCCGCCCTCATTGCTGGGGTCCGAGTGCGTTGTAGCCGGCTGTTGGTCTGGGCCTGTAAACCGCTACTCGTCAAGAGTGCGCGCTCAGTGTTGGCTGTGGAAATGTAGGTCTTAGCTGCACACACTGACAGCATTGTGGTTATGATAATTTAACTCTACTTTAATTCGTAGGCTGAGGACTGGCCACACCGCGGCCCACCGCTATTTCTTCTGCTGTCTCTCGTTTCTCACCATGTTGTATGTTTCTGTTGTGTGTTGTTCACCTGTACCCCTGAGTCCTTTGCGACAGGAAATGTGACAACGTGTGAAACCTAAAGAGAAAACTCTCAACTTAATAAATCAAAGTAAACTTAATGTCTGTCTGCCTCTTTATGATTTACGAACCTGTGCGCCTTAGAGCGCTTTTTATTTTATTTTGGGCACTTTGCCCTGGCGTTGCTGGTTTTTCTTTCTCATTTATATTGTCATATTATTTAAGGAGCGCGTAGCAGCCTCCACTTTGCCACACTTGCAATCAGTGGCAGGCAAGTGCGTGAGAAGGTGCTTCAATGAAACGGGTAAGGGGAGGGCAGACGCACTCCACACTGCCACACTAACAAAATAGATGAGAAAGTAATTGCACCAACATTTTTAAGTGTTGTTGGAGGCAAAATACAGGTCCTGTGTCCAACACCGTAGAAAGCAGTGATCATCTCATCTGGAAGAGACATGTGGACCAGTTATCATCTTACAACACGTGTCATGTTCCTTCTGTTCTAGATCAAGGGATTCATCAGAAGTAATATCCATTTCTTGAGGAACCACAGGAACAACATAACATTTTTTACCGAGTTCCTGGTACACCTAAGCCAAGGCGGGTGTCTACTCCAGAGACTGTATCCAGCCCAGCACTCACACAGTCTTCAAAAGAACCAGTGATGGATATGGAAATTGGTCGTATTCATCCTCAACGAAACAGAAGACCTCCTGACAGATTTTCTCTTTCGTTCCATTGAGAATGTTATAGCTGTAGAATGTTCATATTTACAAATGCTATATTTTGGTGGCAACACTCCCCTCTTATCTCTCATCCCCCGGAACTCCAGCTCCTTCACAATAACACATTTGTGTGTGCGTTCACCAGCCACCACACAGGCCCCCCCAGAACACACAAATGAACAAATTACTCTAACCCCACAAAACAAAAAAGGTACACACTAAGAAAATCTAACCGGCCGCCGGACCAATCTACCCCCCCTACGCTTAACCGGCGTAGCCATCCGGGCAGGGACAGGCAGGGGCCCCACTACCGGGGCAGGATTAGGCGGGCGGCCCCGCGAGCAAGGCGGGCCAACTCCACATCCTCGTCCCGGAGCACATGAGCAGGCTTCAAGCGGTCCACCGTGACCCGATCTTGGCCAGCCCCGATCTCAACCAAAAAATACTTGTCCCCTGTCTCCAGCACCCGGAATGGGCCATCGTAAGGCGCCTGCAAGGGAGAACAGTGTGCGTCATGACGTACAAAAACATATTTGGTCGACATAAGGTCCTTAGGAACATGGGCCTGAGGCATACAGTGGTGTGCCGCGACCGGTCTGAAAGCTCCTGCCGGGGAAAAAGGCAGTGTAGCCACCCTCGGAACCAGGCCAGGGGCGGTATGCAGGAACTCCCCCGGGACCCTCAGTGTCTGTCCCAGAACCAACTCAGCAGAAGAGGAGCGCAGATCCTCCTTGGGGGCGGAGCGTAAACCCAACAAAACCCACGGCAACCTGTCCACGCAGCTATTGTCTACCAGAGAGGCCCGGAGGGCACATTTCATAGTCCGGTGAAACCTCTCGCACAACCCGTTAGCCTGCGGATGATATGCCGTGGTCCGGTGAAGTTTAACCCCCAAGCTCCCAGCCACTGAAGTCCACAGCTCCGAGGTGAACTGGGGGCCCCTATCAGAAGTCAGGTCCGGAGGAACCCCAAACCGCGCCACCCACAAATAAATAAAAGCCCGGGCCACGTCTGCCGAAGTAGTAGACGACAGGGGCACTACCTCCGGCCATCGAGTGGTCCTGTCCACCATGGTCAGGAGGTGAGTGAACCCCCGGGAAGGGGGAAGAGGGCCCACCAAGTCCACATGGACATGTTCAAAACGTCTCAGGAATTGAAAAAGGACCCAAGGGAGCTTTAACGTGACGCTGCACCTTGGCCCTCTTGCAGGCCACGCATGTGGAGGCCAAAGTCTTAACGTTTTTGAGGCCGGGCCACACGAACTTAGCGCTCACCAACTTTACCGTCGCTTTCACACCGGGGTGAGACAGGGAGTGTACAGCCTCGAAAATGCAGGCGCGCCAGGCCGCAGGTACCAAAGGACGTGTTCTGCTCATGGACATGTCACACAGAAGCGTCGCCCCGCTGTCCTGAAAATCTTCCAACCTCAAACTAGAGTCAGTGGTGCGCAGCGCTTGCACCTTCGAATCCGCCAGCTGGTCCACCGCCATCTCTGCATAGTCAATGCCTAACTGAACCGTGGAAACCTGAGCCCGAGAGAGACAGTCCGCTACTGCATTGTCCTTCCCTGCAACATGTCGAATATCACAAGTAAACTCAGAAATAGCAGAAAGCTGCCTTTGTTGCCGTGCCGACCATGGTTCAGAGGTTTTGGCCATAGCAAATATAAGGGGCTGGTGATCCACATAAGCAGCAAACTCTCGGCCCTCCAGGAGAAACCTGAAGTGGCGTGTGGCAAACGCACTGTACTTCCTTTCTGACTCTCGCAACCTTCTACTGAAAAAGGCTAGTGGCCGCCAGGCACCATCTGACTATATGCCTATAATATGAAGGGCATGTCTTGCAAAACAGAGTCCATTAACCGCTGAAAAGTCTGTGCTGCCCCCTTAAGGCCAAATGGCATACTCAAAAACTCGAAAAGGCCAAAAGGTGTAATAACAACAGTCTTAGGGACATCTCGCGGGTGGACTGGCACCTGGTGGTAACCTCTAACCAAATCCACCCTTCGAAAACACGACAGCCACCGCCAGGTGCCCAGAAAAATCCTGAATGTGGGGGACCGGGTACCTGTCGTTGGTCGTGGCATTGTTGAGGTGACGGAAATCCCCACACGGGCGCCAACCACCGTCTGATTTGGGAACCATGTGCAAAGGCGAAGCCCACGGGCTGTTTGAACGGCGTACGATTCCAAGTCTCTCCATGTTGGCAAACTCCTTTTTAGCAACCAACAATTTTGCCGTATCTAAACGGCACGCATGAGCAAAAACTGGCGGGCCCACGGTAGTGATGTAATGCTCCACCCCGTGCTTAGCTACTGCCGCAGAAAATGTGGGAACCGTAAGGGTAGGAAACTCTGCTAACAGACGCTGGTACGAGTCACCAACGGCCAGCATGTTAGCCAGAATGTGCCCAGCTTTCCTCAGCGTACATGGATAGGAATTAAAAGACACAGCATCAATCAAACACCTGTTAGACACATCTACTAACAGCCTGAATGCACATAAAAAATCTGCACCCAGGATAGGAACTGACACAGAAGCAATCACAAAGTCCCAGCTAAATTCACGGCCATTAAAACACACTGTCAAAAACCTGGTGCCAAAGGTGCAGATGCGAGTCCCGTTAGCTGCGGCCAGCGGAGGGCCCCGTCCTTGCCCAGTAGCTTCGGCCGTGGAGGGGGGTATGATGCTGCGTTGCGCTCCAGAATCCACAAGAAAACGACGTCCTGAAGCCCCATCCTCAATGAAAAGCAGCCTGTCCTGGTCAACGGTGCAGGCAGCTGCTAGCGAGCACCGGCCTTCCTGTTTCCCGACTGCTGAAAAGAGCACGGTGGGATGCAACGGCGAGCCTTGGTTCCAAAGCGGCGGTGGTAGAAACAGAGGCTTTCCTTCTTGTCTCGTCGATCCGTCACAGCCGTCACGTGCACGCAGACATCCTCCTCACACGCATTCGGAGGCACCAGCGCATGCACCGAAAACTGCCTGGATGCCAGCAGAAGTTTGTCAGCCTCCTTCGCCAGCCGTCTGTAATCCTTAGTGCGGATCAGGTCCGAAGTGGCCAGGGCGGTACGCACAAGAGGAGGGAGTTGGCGCAGGAACAGATGGGTGAAAAGAAATGAACTGTCCCCAGAGCTGAGTAACGCCAACATATTTTCCATCCATAATATCTCGTGACGTCCGTGGTTATGCCGCGTAGATGAAACTGCGCTTCAACATGCTGAAACCACGGCTCTGGATCGTGCGTCCAAAACTCTGGTAGTTTCACCGTAGGCGCGAACACAGCCGGTGGGGGCGACCGCAGCGCCAGCATTATCTTGTTACATGCTTATAATGTCCAGAGTCAGGGTCACCAATGTGGGAGAAGCAAACGAGACGAGAAGCTGAGTCTCACTGTATTTATTCCCAACACTCATTACACACAGGTGGCAACACTCCCCTCTTATCTCTCATCCCCCGGAACTACAGCTCCTTCACAATAACACATTTGTGTGTGCGTTCACCAGCCACCACAATATAATAGTTTAATGTTTAACTATTTCACTTTTGCTAAGGGGAACATCAAAAGTAAAGGGGGAGGGAAATGTTATGTATTTACATATAATGTAAATTGTCCCTCCTGTGCCACGGCAGTTACGCACACCGTAGAGTAGAGATTGCTAAAATGTTATTACACGTTACGAGTTGTAATAGGAGGATCTTTGAGTGACGTCGTTGTTTATACTGTAGTTATTCCGCACCAGTCACATGACGAGGTGGCAATACAGCATGGAAAGCTACCTGGATGCTAGAGTTAGCTATTTTTAGACGTTTGGAGAGAGGTTTTACTAAATCAAATGGTCCATTCTTGTTGTGTGGTCGGTTGTACGGCCCGCTGGGGACAGATACAGTTTTTTTTTCTAATTGTTTCGGAAAAGAACAGCGAAAAACAGCCACGGTAAACCTTTTATGCTACCACCTATGGTAAAAGTAGAACCAGGGGGATGAGGGGATAAAAATACAAATTTAAGTTTTGCCACTACTTTCACTGCACACTTGGTCACTGCGATGATTAATTTTAAACATTGTATTTTGGTTACTCATCTCCGCGGCTTCTGTTTCCACCGTAAGTAACAGCATGAAGGGGCAATTAATAGTTACTTTTGAAACTTAAGTTCTACGAATAGGTGCGTAGTCCCTTAGGACTTCGCTAGTGGGATATCACGTGACCCCCAGGTCACACGCCAGAGAGATCAAATACATATAAATATGCTCCAATCACTAGCGACCCTCCTCTAAAAAAGCCCCTGCACAAGGCCACGCCCCCTCTTGAACTCTGCCCAGCCGGGCTGGCCTGATGGGCTCGAAGCTAAGGGACTACGCACCTATTCGTAGAACATAAGTTACATAAGTAACTATTAATTCTTCGTCATGGTGCTACGTCCCTTAGAACTTCGCTAGTGGGACACAACGCGGAGTCCGTAGGAACATGTACTCCCAGCAGGCCAGCGAAGAGTGATTGGAGCCCTGCCCGAGCAAGACTCTCACACAGTGAGAAGACTCAGGGCAGAAGAAAACCAATTGCGTGTTACGGGGCCGCTCCTCCCAAGGACACCCCCAAGTAACACCGACCGAAAGTCACCCGTAGTCCCAGGACGCCTTTCCCAAGAGCTCCTGACGTGGACTACCTAACTGACTGAGAAAGCACACACACACCGCACCTGCAGGACGCCTCTCCCAAGAGCTCCTGAACCAGGGCGGTCAAAACCAAACCGTAGACCCCCTCAGATGAGGAAACTCACGGTTTCAACTCAATCCGCTGCACCAAGCACAGAATGGGCCACCGACCGGTCCGACACATCCAAAAAGTTAGACCGGACGAAAGAGGAGGACGAAGCCCAAGAAGCCGCACGGCAAACGTCCTCGACCGAAGCCCCCCTGAGGAGGGCCGTAGAGGCCGCCACCCCACGCGTGGAGTGCGACCTGAAACCCACCGGGGGGGCCAGGCCCTGAGCCTGATACGCCAACCGCACAGCCGTGGCGACCCAGTACGCCAGCCGCTGAGACGACAGCGGGGCGCCCCTGTTTCTGGGGCCCAGACACACAAACAGCTGATCAACCAACCTGAAGGAAGATGTCATAGCCAGGTAACGCCTAAGCATTCTGACAGGACACAGAAGGTGCCGCCGCTCCTCCTCCGGCGAGGCATGCGGCGGCGGATGGAAAGCCCTAATCCTGATCACTCTCGACCTGAAGGCCGAAGTGATGACCTTAGGGAGAAAAGCCGGATTGGGCCACATCTCCACCAGACCGTCACCCCCTCCAAAGGACAGGACGGAGAGCGCACACAAGTCCCCCGCCCTCTTGGCAGACGCCAGCGCCAGCAAGAGAGCAGTCTTAAAAGCCACACACTCGGGACTCTCCTCCGACACCGGCTCAAAAGGGGGCCCGACAGACCCCTGAGGACCACCCTGAGGTCCCAAACCGGGGGCGTTCTTTGAAGCGGTGGTCTCCTCCTGCGGGCCCCCCGCAAAAAGCGGTTGACCAACGGATTGGGAACAGGCCGTGAACCCCCCGAAACCACCGTGACACGAGGTAATGGCTGCCGCGAACACTGCCAGGGTACCGACAGCCCTCCCTTTGTCAAAGAGTTCCTGCAGGAATCCCAGGACTCCCTCCAGGGGAAAACGCCTGGGATCCCAGGAGCGAGAACCACACCAGTCGCTGAAGAGCCTCCATCTGGTAGTGTAGGATCTCACCGTGGAAGGCGCCCTCACCCCCTGAATAGTCTCCACCACCGCCAGGGGGAGACCCAGGTCTACGAGGTTCCGCCTCTCAGCCTCCAAGCCCAAAGCCTGCGGCCGATTATCGGGCGTGAGTAGAGCCCCCCCCCCTGGACTAAAGCCCCCGGGGAGGCCCAAGCCGTCCGGGAGGGCCGAAGGCTCCATCACCGCCATGCCCCTCAGGAAGGGGAACCACCGGGCATGTGGACTGTCCGGAGCCACCAGGACCACCGACCTCCCCTCCTGTTCAATCCTCCGCAGCAAGACCGGCAGGAGACGAACTGGTGGAAAAGCGTACAGAAGGCCCCCTGGCCACGGGTAGTGAGCCAGGGCGTCCACCCCTAGGGGCGGCTCGTCCGCGGCCCTTAAGACGAACCAGGACGGGCACTGTGCGTGGGCGGCCGAACCTCCGCCAGACCTCTGCAGCTATCCGCGGGGCCAGGCCCAACTCGTCCTGGAGTGGGCCCCCCCTGGACATTCTGTCGGCACCCACGTTCCGGGCACCCACGTTCCGGGCACCCGGGACGTGGCGCGCCCTCAGGGACGGGAGGTGAACCGCCGCCCACAGCAGAATCACCGTCGCCATGCTATGGAGAGCGGGGGATCTGGTGCCCCCTGTCTGTTCAGATAAGACACCACCGTGGTGTTGTCTGAGCGAACCATCACGTGTCTCCCCTGCAACTGAGGAGCAAAGTGCAGCAGCACCCTGTGCACTGCCTCCATCTCCAGAAGGTTGATGTGGCGGGCTGAGTCCGACCAGCAGCCTTCTACGGAGCTCTGACCGAGGACCCCGCCCCACCCCTCGAGTGACGCGTCCGTGAACACCTCCACGTGAGACACGGCACTGACCAGAGTCACTCCGTCCCGCAAAAGACCCGGAGTGAGCCAGAACCTGATGTCCGACGCTGCAGTTTGGGGAACCCAGATCAGCTTCCCCCCGTCCCGTGACGGGTGAAGCTTGAGGCGTGAGAACCATCTCTGAAAGTTCCTCATGTGGCACCACCACAGCATGAGCCGCCGCCATCATCCCCAGAAGGGACCTGAGGCGTTGAGCGGGGACCCTGGGGCCCGCTAGCACCTCCCTGGCCAGACGGGTGATGTTCCTCCGTCTGTCCTCGGACAATGCAGCACGGAACGTCACAGAGTTAGCTGCAGGCCGAGATAGATCATGCGCTGAGCCGGCTGCAGCCTGCTCTTTTCCCTGTTCACCACAAAGCCCAGACGCTGTACTGTATGTGGGAAAGGACCCAGTGTGTGACTCACGGCCACTTCCCTGGACGAGGCCAGTATTAACCAATCGTCTATATAGGTTAATATCCTTACCCCCGCGCGTCTGAGAGGCTCCAGTGCCACCTCCACGCACTTTGAGAAAGTAAGTAAGTAAGTAAGTAATCTTTATTTATATACCGCCTTTCACAGACCAGAGTCACAAAGCGGTTTACAATTGTTATTATTTTTGGGCACTTGTCCTCTCACTCCACACAGAGATGGGAGCAGGGTCGCCGAACAAGAGGCGCATGCCAGACCTATTGTACATATTTTTAGTGGTAGGGGAAACCGGAGCACCCGGAGGAAACCTACGCAGACACGGGGAGAACATACAAACTCCACTCAGAAAGGCCCTGGTCCGACCGGGATTCGAACCCAGGACCTTCTTGCTGAGAGGCGAGAGTGCTATCCACTCAGCCACCGTGCCGCCCTAGTCCGAGGCGCGAGCGCGTAACCGAAGGGGAGACGGCAGTACTCGTAACTCCTCTCTCCCACCGCGAAGCGCAGGAACCTGTGTACCGGAACTATCGCCACGTGAAAATAAGCGTCTGTCAGGTCTATGGAGGACATCCAATCTCCCTGTCTGAGACACTCCAGGAGCTGTTTCGTGGACAGCATCCGGTAACTGGTAAATGTACTCTGGTCAAGCACCACATTAACACTGGTGACCACCCACCTCAGAGATAACGTGCTTATCGCACTTCCCCTGAGAAGAGGGAGGTGATTGACCGCCAGGTGAAAGCCCTGTTGGTTGATGGGGTAATAGAGGAGAGCTGCAGCCCCTGGGCCTCGCCTGTTGTCCTTGTAAAAAAAAAAGAATGATGAATGGCGATTTTGTATTGATTACAGACGACTGAACAGTGTTACAGTAAAGGACTGTCATCCTCTGCCCCGGATAGATGATACTCTGGATGCCCTCTCTGGCTCGTGCTGGTTCAGTACACTTGATTTCTCAAACGGCTATTGGCAGATGGAGGTGGCTGAGGAAGACAGACAAAAGATAGCTTTTACCACAGGGAGAGGCCTGAACCAGTGGAGGTCTATGCCCATGGGCCTGACCAACTCCCCTGCTACATTCCAACGTGTAATGGAGCTGGTTCTGCGCGGACTCCCGTGGCAGGTCTGTACGGTGTACTTGGACGATGTGTTAATATTCAGTCCTACGTTTGAGGAGCACATGTTCAACCTGCGGGAGGTGTTTTCTCATATCCAGGCAGCGGGTCTCAAGCTCAATCCCCAGAAGTGTCACCTGGCTCGGGATCATGTGGTGTTCCTTGGCCACGTCGTTTCCAGTCGGGGCCCGCAGCCGGACCCCAGGAATACTAACAAGGTCAAGTCATGGCCCACACCACGTTCGCCCACAGAGGTGAGAGCCTTCCTGGGACTCTGTTCATATTACAGGCGCTTTGTGAAAGATTTTGCTCGCCTTGCAGCCCCACTGCATCATCTCACATGTAAGGATGTCCCTTTTGTTTGGACTGAGGGCTGCATTTGGGCATTTTAAATCGGTGCTCTCATCCGCCCCCATAGTGACCATGCCTGACTTTAATGTTCCATTTAAGGTGTACACTCCCTGGCTTGACCTGTTGTTTCCGATGCGTCTATGGAAGCTGTTGGGGCGGTGTTAGCTCAGGATAAAGATGGGCTGGAGAGAGTCGTCGTATATGCTAGTCAATCGCTTACTAATACTCAAAAGCGTTGGGCTACATTTGATAAGGAGCTATGGGCTGTGGTGTGGGCTGTGCGTCAGTTTAGACATTACAACGGATCATCCCCTTTTACTATCATAACTGACCATAAGCCTCTTTTAGGACTCCGGGGCATGTCAATTGATAAGGACCCATACGGAAAGAGGGCCCGGTGGATCCTTGAACTGGACCCGTATAACTGGAGTATGTAGCACAAGGAGGCGCGCCGTCATACTAATGCGGATGCCCTCTCACGGCGCCCCGAAGGGGTCCTGGGCCCTGCCCCCCTGGTCAATGTGATAAGCTCCTCTCCAGCGCCACACTCCGCTCCTATTGATGCCCAGGTCAGGGTGCACTCTCCGCCGGTGCCCTCCCCACCGGTGCCCTCTCCGCCTGTGCCCTCTGCGCCTGTACCCTCTCCATCCGTGGCTCCTCCTGTGGGTGGAGAACTCTGGCATTCACTGATGGGTGACAGTGACTATATTGCCAGGCTTCAGAGGGAAGATCCGGACATTGGTACTGTATTGGACTGGATCAGGGCTGGGGGTTCTCGTCCACCAAGGGGGCAGTTGCGTGGCTCGCGGTGGCTGCGGAAATTGTGGCCGGAGTTCCCCAGGCTTTCCCTGGTGGGGGAGCTTCTTTGCCGGACAGTTTATCCCTCTCCTGCGGGGGAACCCCAGCATCAAGTTGTGGTGCCGGCATCGCTGGTTCCAGAGTTGTTAAGCCAGTTGCACTGCGGCCCTGTTTCTGCACATTTTTCAGCGGAGAGAGTGTGGATGCAGGCCAGGACTGTCTGTTATTGGCCCTCCATGCTCAAAGACATTAGGCAGTGGTGTGAACAGTGTGTACCATTTCAGACTCGCAAAGCCCCTGTACCTAAACACAGGGCTCCGATGGGAGGGTTGCAGACTGTGCGTCCGTTTCAGCGTGTGGCTATGAACATTTTGGAACTTCCGGTAACTTCCAAGGGCAATCGCTATGTGTTGGTGGTGAACGATTATTTTTCAAAGTTTGTCAATCTGTATACATTACCTAACCAGACTGCTCTGACTGTGGCTCAATGTCTGTTTGAAGATTATGTGCTTCTGCATGGTGTTCCAGAGACTGTTCATAGCGATCACGGCAGACAGTTTGAGGCGGAGATTGTGCAGAGTTTATGTTCGCTCTTGGGCATTAAGAAAACACGCACAGTTCCATACAATCCAAAGTCAGATGGTATGGTCGAGCGGTTTAATCGTACCCTCATTGACCAGCTCGCAAAATCATTGCTTTCATGTGGTGGTGAATGGGATGACTACCTCAAACATGTGGCTTTTGCTTATAATACCTCTGTTCATGCATGTACGGGTTACACCCCCTTTTACCTATTACATGGACGTGAAGCCCGGGTCCCGGTGAATATGATGTTGTCGACACCCACTGCTCTTCGCTTGCCTATTTCTCATGATGATTTTGCCTCCTCTCTCGCAGAGAAGTTGGGAGTGGCCTTTGCTTACACTAGGCAAAATGCTACAGATGCCCATGAGAGTCAGAAATTGTATCATGATGTAGGGGCTCGACACAAACCGTACAATGTGGGTGATTTGGTGTGGCTTCACAACCCCAGGGAGGATAGGATGAAGCTAGCTGCGCACTGGAAAGGCCCCTTTAGGGTTGCTGATACTGTGAACTCTGGGAAGGTAACAGGGCTCTCGTATCGTATTTGTGATCCTTTAGTTGATGGGCCTGGACTTGTCGTCCATTTTGATAGATTAAAGCCCTATACCCTGGGTTCTCTGCCCAGTCGCCCATCTGGTGCCCGCCCTGGTCTGACCTGTGGGTCTCCTAAAGGGTCTGGTGTGGGTTTGTTGTTTGATATGCAACCTGATGAGCCAGAGTTCACTCGGCCACTGACTGAGTCACGGGTGGGTAGGGCTTTGAAAGTGCCTGCCCGCTTTAAGGATTTTGTTACTTACAGTTGAGGATTTTGTTTACTTTTGTTTGTTCTTTTGTTAATGCTCTTGACATATAGTATGTGGCATTGGTCTATTTATCGCTGTGTTTTTTTTTCGATGTGGTTAAAAGGGGACATTTTTTTCTCTGTTGGGGGGGAAGTATGTAAATTACTTTTCTGTATTCACAGCGTTATTCTATGCTTTTATTTTGAAAGGTAAAAGACCGGAAATGAGTTGACCTGTTGTTTCCGTGCTGAGTTGCATTTTTGAGACGGAGCTGTGGAGATGAAAAAATTACCTCCAACGATCTGGCTTCATCTTTCTTGTACTCCATACCCTCGGTTACATAGACAAAATTAGGGCTTCCTGTTCTCTCAGTGTTTTTCAGAAAAGTGATGATGTGGCGAATAAATACGGGTGCTGTCCATGTGCCCCACTGGACCAAAAGTTCAAGATCAGACCTGGCTTGGACTCTTCTCCGTGTGACGTCTCCTGAGGAGCCACGCCCCCTTCTGCACATTTTACTTATGCGATATGTGATAATATTAATCAGTCTGAGCAGGCACAGGGGGAGGTTCTTGACAGAGCGCCACATACAGTAAAATAATGTATTTTGTTAAGACGGGTAGGTTTTGATTCTTCCTACTCCCTTTTGAATATGCGAATGGAATAGAAATGTTGTTTTTTTAATGATTATATATAAAGTATGCACGCATGTTTCAAAATAAACAAATGAAGTGAAATGAAAGCTTTTCTTGCTTACTGTAAGGCTCTATACTGTGAAAAAATATCAATGAGAACCCTGCTACATGTTATTATTACGCATAAAAGGGACTGTTCTTCTGTTCTTTTAAGTCACAATGACCCACTAACTTGTTGCCAGAGACAAGTCTGTGATATGTGTAGCTCCTAAGCACTGAATACTGATCCAATCCACCGGCAGGGGTTTAGCTAGAAATAGTGTAAAACACTGTGTGACTACATACTTTTGGACCTGGTTTAATCTAAACATGTGTTTAAAAACATTTTCATAAGCCAGTCATTATGCTTCCAAAAATGATGATGATTCTTATTATTATTATTATCATCAAATGTATATAAGGCCTGTTACATTATTTATTTGGATCAAATGTATTTCTTCATTGTGATATCATTAAAGTTTTATCTTATTAAATTATTATTCTGAAAATGAATTACCTTTCCCATCCTACAAGATCAACTTTCAACGTTTTAAAAATACTTTATTGTCTTTGCACTTATCTCAGCATGATCAAAGCAAAACTCCAATAACCATATTAGACACACTTTTTCCCCCACCCATTGTGCTAAGCAAGAAAAGCAAATAGAATACACAAATAATAATCCTAATAATAAACAAAAAGGGCCTGGGCTATCTCCGATTCACAGATACAGAAATTTTGTCAACAAATCTACAGCCAGTGCCATACAGAGATAAGGTAACACAAAACACACACACGCCAGTGCCATACAGAGATAAGGTAACACACACACACACACACACACACACACACACACACACACACACACACACACACACACACACACACACACACACACACACACACACACACACACACACACACACACACACACACACACACACACACACACACACACATATATATATACTGTACATATACATTTCTCCAGTGTGAGATCAATAGTCTATTTTATCTTATATACTGTACATGCATACATACTGACCCCCCCCCCTCCTCCAAGACACATTTCTCCCTTGGGAGACAACGTATTAAATGAATCTGAATCTGAATCACATACATTCACACATCAAAGTAAACCAGGCCAAATTAACAAAAATCAATAAAAAAAGAAAAGGTTCAACTTGGCGCATGCGTGTTTTGGTTTATTTAGAAACGTCTCAGAAGCGGAAGTGCTGCACAGACTGAAGAACTGAAGACTGACTGGTAAAGTTTCCTCTTCTTTAATATCACATGCTTAACGCTCACAAGTACAAATCCAGATAGTTATTTTGTTGTTGCTGTTGTGTCTTAAAGTGTGTGCATGAAGTGTGTTGTTGCCGCTATCATCTCTGTAGCTAAAACTAATCAGCCCGGTTAGCATCTATGGTTAGCATGTCCAAGCTAAGTTAGCAGGCCCTTCATTCAGAGGAGAATTCTCTGCTTTGACGTCGCTTGTTGTTAATGGCTTAAACTCTTGTCTTTGGAAACATTTATGTGAACTTTATTAGACTATTCCCTTGACGCGGATGCTTACTACAGGTATTTTGTGGTAAAACTAATGACTGTCTTGCAGTGCTCAACTGAAGATTAAGGAGTATTATAGGAGCGTTGTGACTTTCGCATACATCCAATTGATAAAAAAAACAAAAAAAATATAGGCAAGTTTTTTTTTGCACAGTTCATACACAAGATAACTCAAAGTGCTTAACAAAATATGTTAGAAAAAATATTACAAGGCAGCAAAAACATAGATCATCACTGTACATTAAAATCAGTGAATATACTGTACAATACTTCACTTGTATGCACAGCTAAACAGAACTATTTTTAACCCGAACATTAACAGAGTAGAAGCCTATGTCACATTTTTGGAAGACGCTTCTAGTTTTTAGCAGCATACATCTAGGGATATTTCCCAAAATCACATCAGAGTATCAGAGAATCAAGCCATTGAAAGAAAGGAAATATAGTAATAACAAACACAAACTGCCATTGGTTTCATAGGGAGTGGTATCACCACGGTTAATAAATGTCCCAGAATATCGCTGTCCTTAGACCCTCCCTGTATCGGCAAGAAATGACTCAAAAACACCCAGTAGTAATAAAGTGAGAAACCACGCGGAGGCCAAAATTGAGAGGGGGAAATCCACTCCCACGTATGCTCAGGCTCTACATTACATTAGATGGCTTGACTATGGTTTTTTGTTTTCATAATTTTGAGTCTAATTATACCTACTTAATTATCTTCTGTCTGATATGAAGTTCCCCTATTGGCAGTCAGTGCAACCTAATTACAGAACGACATCACTTTATGAATGTTGAGGTTTTGTTAATGCTTTGTTAATGCTCTATCTACTAAAAGGGAAGCGTGCGACTTCATTTGGTAAATAGTTTTGGAGCTAGTCGTTGTTGTGTTTTGAAAGGACCTTAATAAATAAATAGATATGATATATATATATATTACATACAGTATGTGTTTGTCCCAACAGAGTGAGTCTTGTCTAAGTGAACACACCAGATCTTAATCTTAACCTGCTGTCTTTAACATTGTTATCTTTTACATACTGAAAGCTGGCTGAGTGATACTGGTCCTCTTTTTCAAGTTTCTGTCTTTTAAAAGCTGATCAGGAAATGTGATGGATGCGTTTCAACCACTTAGGTCTTCATCAGGGCAGACAATGTCTTAAGTGGTGTCCAGTGAAAATGGGTTAATGACAAATAAGGGTTGGCAAGACCATACATTTAAAAATCTTTTGATTCCTTAATAAAACATCTCATACCATGTTGGTTAGGGTGTCTACTTTGTGTACTGCGGAGCACATTCATTTTCTAAATATTGTGTGACCAAACTAATTTAAAAAGCCAAAATTATCCTAGTTTACGTCAGTAAAGAATGACAGTTGATTACTAGTCTCTCTTTTTTGGACATAATATTTTTTAAAGGAACAATATGTAAAAATCTGGCCAAAAGTGGTTCTGCAGTCACAATCAATATTTTGTAGTCCTCTCCCACTCCCCCTGACTCAGGTTGCCAGATACACACCAAATCCAGAAGCAAACACAGGGAATTATTTTATCAGTTGTTTGTCTCCATTCACATTGCCATGAGCTGTGCTAATGTTGAATGAATGTTTTTTTCATTTTTTTTATTTGGACATTTGAGATAAAAACACAAAAAACATATAAAAGCAATGTAATTATAGATTATCCAAAATAAATAAGCAATTGATGTCCAAAATAGGAGTGGGAAGAATGAATGTTGGAACATATTTCTTCAGCGTATCAACATCAGGGTTTGCTCCAGAGGATATCACCTTTCAATTTGATTTATTCCCTATTTTTTAGACAAACATGTATAAATTCCACATCAAAAAGAGACTAACATTATTTTAATTGGGTACATATGGTCTTAAAGACCTTATGACGGGTTTAAAAAAAAAAAAAAGTGGATATCAAAATTGCATTACAATGTCAATCTGAAAGAGATTCCGGCAAAAAAAATCCTATATTTTATAAAAAGAAAGTGTTTTTCATGAATTTAAGTTGTCTATGCTCTAACCTGTGTGTGACGTCATAGCGGGTTACGCCCATGCTTTGAAAACCATTGATCTATGCCACAGGACTGCCTTTTCTCTCTTCTCTCCACTGATGCCCAATACAATACTGCACTCTACAGGTGACAATTGCTCGCTACACATAAATTGCCGTTTTGAGTGTGAAAAAGTGTCCGAGGTGGGATTTCAACCCAAGTATCTGGATTGGCAGTCCAACGACACAACCACTGGACTATCTCAGTGACAACGAAAAGTTACATTCTAGTAGTTATATCATACTCGCTGTACACGGCCTTGTCATCTTGAATATCCGCGAAAAAAGAAAGAATACCAAATTGTAAACAACTTACAGCGTTGAAACGTACCCACTCTGACGTCACCAAGGGCTGTGAAGTTTTTTTGTTTCTAAGGGCGTTGCTATGGGGTTATTTCGATTTGGGGGGATCAGACAAAAAAAACAACTGATTTTGAAACCTTTAGTAGTTCTCTTCTAATATAAAATGGTATTAAAACTGTATTTATAAATAAATACAACATAACATGCAATTTAATACAAAAAGACGCTGCCCGAAATCAAACCCGAGTTACTGCATCATTAGCGCGTTGTTTTAACCACTAGGCCACCAACTCACGTGGTCAAAAGTTATCTGAAGAACGAACTCAAAGCAGCAAATTTTGCATCACACAAAAACTTATCAGCTCTCTCAATTGTTCAAAGGCGTCCTGATATAAATCCTCGTTTTAGTCTTTGTTTTGTCATTAATGATTTGAGAGTCGTAACAAGACCTTTTTTAGTTCTGCGCCACATGTTATTTTACCACTGAGATTAGTGAGCCGCACGGAGTTCTGGCAACCCGATCACGGACTTACATGACACTTCCTGATTGGCGAAACGGCGGAGGGTAGGACATCAAAATCAAAACGATAACAACTTTTACGGGTTGTAAAACTAATTTTGATATTCAAATATCTCGGCTGAACTACTGTTATCAGTTAAAGATGTATTCGAAAAGAGCATGATTTAATAACACGTTTTGAAATTGACTTGACATGCAAATATTACATACTGCTACTTTAACTTTAAAATCTGGTTACACCATTTGACAAGGCTGCTTCGTAAAGACCACAACTCTCACTAAAGCAGTCTGCAGTCCTGCAATGTCCCGGCCTGCTTCAAATCCTCCATCATTGTCCCCGTCCCGAAGAAGTCCAGGATCACAGGACTCAATGACTACAGACCTGTAGCTACCTGTACTTACGTCTGTCGTCATGAAGTCATTTGAACGCCTGGTTCTCTCCCATCTCAAGTCCCTCACCTCCCCCCTCCTGGACCCCCTGCAGTTCGCCTACAGAGCCAACAGATCTGTAGACGACGCCATTAACCTGGCCCTCCACCACATCCTACAGCACCTGGACTCCCCGGGGACCTACGCCAGGGTCCTGTTCGTGGACTTCAGCTCTGCCTTCAACACAATCCTGCCATCCCTGCTCCAGGACAAGCTCTCCCAGCTCAACGTGCCCGATTCCACCTGCAGGTGGATCACTGACTTCCTGACGGACAGGAAGCAGCGAGTGCGTCTGGGGAAGAATGTCTCGGACTCTCGGAATATAAATACAGGAGCCCCACAGGGCTGTGTTCTTTCTCCCCTGCTCTTCTCCCTGTACACCAACCACTGCACCTCCAGCCACGACTCTGTGAAGCTGATCAAGTTCGCGGACGACACCACCCTCATTGGACTCATCTCCAACAACGATGAGTCCGCCTACAGGAGGGAGGTGGACCGGCTGGTGTCCTGGTGCAGTGGTAACAACCTGGAGCTGAACGCCCAGAAGACAGTGGAGATGATTGTGGACTTCAGGAAGAGCACTGTCCCCCCGCCCCCACCCTCCGTGATGGACTCCCCCATCACCTCTGTGGAGTCCTTCCGTTTCCTGGGCACCACCATCACCCAGGACCTCAAGTGGGAGCCGACCATCAGCTCCCTCATCAAGAAGGCCCAGCAGAGGATGTACTTCCTGCGGCAGCTCAGGAAAGCCAAGCTGCCTGCACAGATGTTGGTGCAGTTCTACACGGCCATCATCGAGTCCATCCTCACCTCCTCCGTCACCGTGTGGTTCGCTGGAGCCACAGTCAGGGACAAACAGAGACTACAGCGCATTGTGCGCTCTGCAGAGGAAGTGATCGGCCGAAGCCTTCCATCGCTGCAGGACCTGTACGTCGCCCGAGCTCGAGGCCGGGCTGGTCGTATCACAGCCGACCCCTCTCACCCTGCACATGGACTATTCCAACCACTCCCCTCAGGCAGAAGGCTGCGGTCCATCAGGACTAGAACCTCCCGCCACAAGAACAGTTTCTTCCCCTCTGCTGTTGGACTCTTGAACACTTCTTAACCTGTCCCCCCGCCCTTTATGAAGTCACTTTACTGCCCATCATACGTCACTTTACTTCACTGTACTGCTGTCACCTTACATTGTGTGCACCATGTGCACTTGTATATTGTAAATAGTAACTGTAACTCTATTTTAAATTTAAATTTATTCTTTAGAAGTGTTTTTTATTCTTATTTTTATTATCTCTTTTTGACTGTTGCACTGAGCCAAAGCAATTTCCAAGTCTGTGACCTCCTGTTACTTACGTGGCAATAAAAATGATTCTGATTCTGATTCTAA